AGGAACATCCTGTCTCAGAAAGAAAGCCTACTCCATGCATTTGTTCCTTCTAGGTTAGATTACTCAGGCATGTGATTGGCAAAGGGCAAAAAAGCAGGAAAATATACTGAGACCCCCTAACACCCGATAAAACTGGCCGCGGCTCCATTATAAAATATAGATGGTAAAGCAGGACCTGTGACAATAACTTATTTGGTGGATGTGTTGCAGTGGGAATCAAAGACAAGTGTCTAAGCCACTGTGCCATCACAACCTCTCTATAATAATTATTATTTTGTATTAATTTTTTATCTAACTTCAACTGCTAAATGTGCAACATGCAGCATGAAATAATTGAGTCTATAACTAGGCTAAATAATATAACTACTAACTTTAAAATTACTTCAGTAGAAGTTAATAGATTATTTTTAATGAATAAGAGACAGCAGCAAAGGTTGTGCCTGTTTAAGACCTGGTGGCCTAATTGTTAAAGAAACAGTTATATTATTCAGGAAACTCAGATCAAACAGCTGATCAGTCTATCTGTAATCAAAACATAACCAATTTATCCGATCCTTATTGTCAACTCAGTGTCGGGCAAGTTATTCAGAAATAATAGTTATTACCAACTAGTTACTCAGCGTATACTCCTTAAAAAAGTTATATTAGCTACTCTACTTATTACTGGGTGATATAACGCCACTCTCTCCCGATGAGTTCAGGCATTACTGGCAGAAGTGGCCGGCGTTTCTTTTTGAGTTTCATGTTGCTGTGTTGCTTTAGCTGATGCTTCATTTATCCTAAGTATAAATGTAGAATTTTTCGTGGTCAAAAACTTTTTGCTGGTCGCACAAAGTTTACAACGGACGACAATGTTCTTTGCATCTTAGACTGTGACACAATAATGGCAATAACGTTACTTACAGCTGTCAAAAATACCTCTCTCCCTGTTCTCCAGTCTTCCTTTAGCTTTTTGGCACCTGACTTGAACAAAATAAGGTCCGGTGCCGCTGACCTGCTGCGCGGTCGAGCATTTACGTCAGGGATGGTGCGTTCAGTAGCGCAGCATTACTTGGATTAGTAGCCTAAGTGTAATAATATAACCGTTTTGGAAATAGTAATCCGTTACATTACTCTTTACTGGGAAAAGTAAAATTACAGTATTACTGCCCAACACGTTATGTACCACTGATGCGTGAGAACAACTGTGGTACACACGGCGCAGGTGTGGAATGGGCAGCTGAACGCAAACGAACACTAACTATTGTTACTGGTCCTATTATTAACTTAACCATCGACAGCCAGGGCCGTAACCAGGGTTTCCAAAGTAGTGAGGTCCAGTTTTTGGTTTCTTTTGATAGAGCTTCTTTACAGTAATTTGGTGAAGGCTTGAACCGGCAGTGGGCACAGCGCTGCGTTAGGTGAAGAACACTCTTTTTTTCTTATGATCAGTGCAAATGTGACAGGGAAATCTTAGAATAGGCCTACTAGTATTCACAGCATGAATTAGGGGTGTAAGGAAACACAAAATTCACGGTAGCTACCATTTCAGTACAGTAGCAAATTTAGCTGTCATGCACTCCACAGAAACCTAGAAACGTTTGCCAGTAAACAGAATATATCAGCTTGGTTAGAGTGACATTTCATCATCAGTATCTCAAATGTAGCCCAACACTGTCATCAGAGGCAGTGTTGGAAGACACACACACACACACACACACGATTTTTTTTTTCACCTACAATTCCTGGATAGCTCAGTGGTTAATGCCACTGACTTTGGTACAGGTGATCATGAGTTTGATTCCCGGTCAGTTCGGGGGGTATCCAGGTGGACCCTTAGGTAAAGTCCTTAATGCTACCAGCCTACCTCAAATACAAGAGCCATACCACCTTGGACATCCTCCAGGTTAACAAGTGTCTTCCATTTTGACCTTGGGACTTCCAGCCCATACTCACAGCAGATGTTCCTGTACACTATGCCAGTTACCTGGTTATGGTGTTCCATGTACGCACTTCCTGCCTGCATCTTATACCCTGCTGTTATGTGCTGTACTGTCTCAGGGGCGTCCTTGCACAGTCTGCACCTGGGGTCCTGCCTGGTGTGGTAGACCCCAGCCTCTATTGATCTTGTACTGAGTGCCTGTTCTTGTGCCGCCATGATTAGTGCTTCTGTGCTGTCCTTCAGTCCAGCCTTTTCCAGCCACTGGTAGGATTCCTTGATATCAGCCACTTCTTCTATTTGTCTGTGGTACATGCCGTGCAGCGGCTTGTCCCTCCATGAAGGTTCTTCATCGTCCTTGTTCTCACCTTCGGGTTTCTGCTGCTTGAGGTATTACTAAGTCCTTCATCTTTGGGGGCCATCTTCCTGATGTACTCCTGAATATTAGTCGTTTCATCCTGTACAGTGGTCTTGACACTCACTAGCCCTCGGCCTCCCTCACTACGCTTGGTGTACAGTCTCAGGGTGCTGGATTTGGGGTGGAACCCTCCATGCATTGTGAGGAGCTTTCTCGTCTTGATGTCAGTAGCCTCTATCTCCTCCTTTGGCCAGTTTATTATACCAGCGGGGGATCTGATGACTGGCAGGGCGTATGTGTTGATGGATCGGATCTTGTTTTTCCCATTCAGCTGACTTTTCAGGACCTGCCTCACTCTCTGTAGGTATTTGGCTGTGGCGGACTTCCTTGCTGCCTCCTCATGGTTTCCATTAGCCTGCGGCACCCCAAGGTATTTGTAGCTGTCCTGAACATCTGTGATGTGGCCTTCTGGTAGTTCAATCCCCTCGGTTCTGATCATCTTCCCTCTTTTTGATACCATGCGACCAACTTGTCCAGTCTGAACGACATTCCAATGTCTTTGCTGTAGATCCTGGTAGTGTGGATCAGTGAGTCGATGTCTCGCTCATTTATGGCATACAGCTTGATGTCATCCATGTAGAGGAGGTGACTGATGGTTGTTCCACTTTGGAACCGGTATCCGTAGCCAGTCTTTTTGATGATCTGGCTGACGGGGTTCAGGCCTATGCAGAACAGCAGCGGTGATATGCCGCACTTGATGGTGACTTGTGCAATTGGCTTTGAGTTGGCTTCCAGACTTGTTTTCCACAGCCCCATTGAGTTCTTGATGAAGGCTATTAGTGTCCTGTTGATCTTGTACATTTCCAAGCATTCCAGTATCCGTGTATGTGGCACTGAGTCGTAGGCCTTCTTGTAGTCAATCCAGGATATGCACAGATTGGCCTGCCTGGTCTTGCAGTCTCGAGTGACTGCTCTATCAACCAGTAGCTGGTGCTTGGCTCCCCTGGTATTACTGCCCATTCCCTTCTGGACCCTGTCCATGTATTGAGCCATGTGCCTATTCATCTTAGCCGCTATGATGCCTGACAGGAGCTTCCATGTTGTGCAGAGGCAGAGGCAGGTTATTGGCCGGTAGTTGGATGGGATTGTTCCCTTCTGGGGTCCTTCATGATCAAGACTGTCCGTCCTTGGGTTAATCATTCTGGGTGGGTCCCATCCATCAGCAGTTGGTTCATTTATGCTGCCAGGCCTTCATGGAGTGCAGTTAGTTTCTTCAGCCAGTAGGTTTGGATCATGTCAGGGCCTGGTGCTGTCCAGCTCTTCATACCTGCCACTCTTTCTTGGATGTCTGCCGTTGTAATGGTTACTGGATCTTGTTCTGGGAGATTGCTGTGATCTGTTCTTAGATCCACTAGCCACTGAGCATTGGTGTTGTAATGCCTCTTTCTCCCATATGTTCTCCTAGAACATCCAGTTTATTCTCCTGGCTTCTGCTTCTCCCTTTAGGCGGGTAGCCAGAGCGGTGAGTCTTTGTTTGGCAGTCTCCAGAGCCTCAGGTATCGACAGCTTGTTGTATTTTTTAGGTAGCGTGTGTGTTTAGATATATATATATACAGTATATATATATAAACACAATACTATGAGAATAGAATTGGTATCTTTTTTTTATATTATGTGCATTTTTTCATCGTAAACCTTTACACACGGTGAGTAACAGCCAATAAAGTACGCTGTGCGCGACTTGAAGTGAATCTGTGATCGACCGTGTGGTCTCTTTATGAAAGTTGTTGACGCCCATTTATCTGAATTACTTCCACCTGGCTTGACATAGTCGCACCTTCTGAGCTGGTTTGGCCTTTGTGAAACTAATAAAGCCAGGATGCTCTGATCAAGCCTGGCTTTATCTCTTATCCTGAATTTCTAAATTCTACTTTTGTGCAACAGGCCTCTGGACCTGCTTGTTGCTGGCCATCCTGTGTACCTGCCTACTGTGTTGGGGTCCAGTCCCTATTGTCTCAGCAAGCCCACCCCTGACAAGAGTATAGGTCCCAGCACAGATCGCTGTGGAACCAGAGGTCCAAAGGGGCACCATTTACCAACACCTGCTGTTTCCTGTTCTGTAAAAAGTCCTGTATCTGGTCCGTCAGTCTGTCTGTGGAAAGGGCTTTTAATTGTGACAGTAGGAACTGCATAAGAAGCTGGTTGGAGGTCCATGTGTGGACACTGTCCTTCAGATGGTGGCAGTTATTAAAAACGTATTCCTGCTGAGCTGTCTCCAGGCCCTGTGCAGCAGTGCAGGTCACCTATGGCCTGCTTCAGGTGAGCTAAAACAACCCATGGTGCATTGGTGTCTGCTGCACACTGCTGAATGGTCCTGTTTAATTCTGTATGTCTGATGTTCTGAATGCCTGCTGAGGCAAATAGCTTATCTGATCAAACAGCAGGTTACATCACTTCCTGTTTACTGGAAATGCCAAAATAGCGCATGTGTAATGTGGTCCAGCTGCACACAAACACCTTCAGGTGAACCTCTGAGACATGATGAATGTGTTTACCTGTGACCTGCCCCTGCCAGCAGCTGATCTGAGTGACTAAAATACAGTTTTATTAAAAAACCCACAATCAGTTGACTGTCGCTTTAAGCACCGCCCCCCCCCCCGCGCGCGCGCGCACACACACACACACACACACACACACACACACACACACACACACACACACAGAGCCTCCTGTCAGCACGTCTCTCTCTCTCCTTGTTAATCCGCCTCTCTCTCTCTCTGCAGTCATCATGGCGGAAATCAAAACGGGAATCTTCGCTAAAAACGTGCAGAAACGGCTGAACCGAGCGCAGGAGAAGGTAAGAGCTGTGATGATGATAATGAAGATGAAGATGAAGATGGGGGGATTTAGGAGGAGGAGACGGTGGAGGACAGATGGAGGAGAACAGATTATATGGCTGTGGGAGGCTGTGGGAGGCTGCGGGCCTGTGGAGCGTTTCTTTCTGCTCTTATTCCACAATAATCCAAATCTTTCCGGTGTTTCCGGTATTTAGTCATTTACTATCCGGTACTGATCCGCACAGAGCGGGGCTCCAAGTGTTTCCATTTATTCAGCATATAAAAACAGTAAAATCATCAGACGCTGACGGAGAGCGTTTTGATTGGCTGATGCAGTCCGACTGTGGATTAACTGTAACACATCTCGATGACATCACAAATGCGGTGAAACATGCCGCGCGTGTGTTTCAGGCTTTAAATAAATGATGGCGAGGAGGTGTTCTCCTGCTCCAAGGTCGGGCGGGGGGATGCCCTTCTGTGGCGTGATGACGTCACTTCTGTCGCCAGATCAGCTACCTTCACGTTATTTATAGGAGAAGGCGCAGTCAGTAAATCACTGGATATACTGCACATACGTGTATACTATATCTATTCATAGGTCTCCTGTAAGCTGGGGATGCTGGGGACATGTCCCCACCACATTTTGAAATGTCAAAAAGAAAAAAACAAGCTGCTGAATTCTGCATTATGTTCTGTTATATTTATGAACGTCACTTACCAGCTGAATGTTTTCCTTTATATAAATAAAGATATTTCCACTGTAATTTGGGGAAATAAAGTTTTTAATGCTTAAATTTTCTGGGGGAGGACCCCCCCCTTATTTATTATTTCTTCAAAATAGTGTTAAAAATCTTGTTGTCTTCTCGTGCATCGTCATGTCTTGTTTGTGACCAAAGAATCAAATCATTGATTGATGTTAGGCTTAGCTTTTGTGGTGCTGAAACATTACCCTGTTCTGAATAGTCTGTGAGAACTGTCCATGGAGCTAGAACATTACCTGGTTCTGATTGGACAGTGAGGACTGTCCATGGTGCTGAAATATTACCCGGTTCTGATTGGACAGTGAGGACTGTCCATGGTGCTGAAACATTACCCAGTTCTGATTGGACAGTGAGGACTGTCCATGGTGCTGAAACATTACCCGGTTCTGATTGGACAGTGAGGACTGTCCATGGTGCTGAAACATTACCCGGTTCTGATTGGACAGTGAGGACTGTCCATGGAGCTGAAACATTACCCGGTTCTGATTGGGCAGTGAGGACTGTCCATGGTGGTGAAACATTACCCGGTTCTGATTGGACAATGAGAACTGTCCATGGTGCTGAAACATTACCCTGTTCTGAATAGTCTGTGAGAACTGTCCATGGAGCTAGAACATTACCTGGTTCTGATTGGACAGTGAGGACTGTCCATGGTGCTGAAATATTACCCGGTTCTGATTGGACAGTGAGGACTGTCCATGGTGCTGAAACATTACCCAGTTCTGATTGGACAGTGAGGACTGTCCATGGTGCTGAAACATTACCCGGTTCTGATTGGACAGTGAGGACTGTCCATGGTGCTGAAACATTACCCGGTTCTGATTGGACAGTGAGGACTGTCCATGGAGCTGAAACATTACCCGGTTCTGATTGGGCAGTGAGGACTGTCCATGGTGCTGAAACATTACCCGGTTCTGATTGGACAATGAGAACTGTCCATGGAGCTGAAACATTACCCGGTTCTGATTGGGCAGTGAGGACTGTCCATGGTGGTGAAACATTACCCGGTTCTGATTGGACAATGAGAACTGTCCATGGTGGTGAAACATTACCCGGTTCTGATTGGGCAGTGAGGACTGTCCATGGTGCTGAAACATTACCCGGTTCTGATTGGACAATGAGAACTGTCCATGGTGCTGAAATATTACCCGGTTCTGATTGGACAGTGAGGACTGTCCATGGTGCTGAAACATTACCCGGTTCTGATTGGACAATGAGAACTGTCCATGGTGCTGAAATATTACCCGGTTCTGATTGGACAGTGAGGACTGTCCATGGTGCTGAAACATTACCCGGTTCTGATTGGGCAGTGAGGACTGTCCATGGTGCTGAAACATTACCCAGTTCTGATTGGACAGTGAGGACTGTCCATGGTGCTGAAACATTACCCGGTTCTGATTGGACAATGAGAACTGTCCATGGTGCTGAAATATTACCCAGTTCTGATTGGACAGTGAGGACTGTCCATGGTGCTGAAACATTACCCGGTTCTGATTGGGCAGTGAGGACTGTCCATGGTGCTGAAACATTACCCGGTTCTGATTGGACAATGAGAACTGTCTATGGTGCTGAAACATTACCCGGTTCTGATTGGACAATGAGGATTGTCCATGGTGCTGAAACATTACCCGGTTTTGATTGGACAGTGAGGACTGTCCATGGTGCTGAAACATTACCCGGTTCTGATTGGACAGTGAGGACTGTCCATGGTGGTGAAACATTACCTGGTTCTGATTGGACAGTGAGGATTGTCCATGGTGCTGAAACATTACCCGGTTCTGATTGGACAGTGAGGACTGTCCATGGTGCTGAAACATTACCCGGTTCTGATTGGACAGTGAGGACTGTCCATGGTGGTGAAACATTACCCATTTCTGATTGGGCAGTGAGGACTGTCCATGGTGCTGTGTCCTAATGGATGTTAATAATGTGTATAGAACAACATTCAGTAGAAGACAATAGGAGGACATGTTTCCACTAAATAATGTAATGTGGAATTCAGATTTCCAGTTTTGTAGAATACACTGTTTCTGTTGGTTTTAGACCAGCTGACAGTAAAGGTTTTCTTTCAGCTGTAACAGAAACACCTTTTGTGCTGTGTTCAGGGACACGTTCAGCAGGTGTCACGAGGTTTCAGCCAGAAATACAACCCAGACTTATTAAATATTAAACACAGGTCAGAGTCACTGTAGCCGAGCTGCTTCACAGTTCAGTAGTTTTAATACGTGTTTCAGGTCTAGTTCTGTTTCCTGTTTCACGGACAAAAATCTACTCTAGTCCCACACAGACTCAAAGGTGAAATGTTTTTTTAATGACAAACGACATTGCTGAGGGATTAGGAAGTGTGACGGCAGGAGGCCGGCAGTGTGGCACCAGAGTTCTGTAGCTCAGGAAAAATAAATGGAGCAAAAAGACAAAAAGAGCAGTAAGGATGGAAACAACCTGCTGCTGACTGACTGGAGACCAGGACTGTTTCAGCAGCAGGCTTGTTGAGAGGATTGCCAGCAGGTATGGAGATGAACCAGATCCCAGGAGAAAAATAACAAAATACTCAACCTGGTTTATACGGGTGCTCCCGTAAAAGATAGATAGATACTTTATTGATCCTTCACAGGGATTTACATTTGTTACATTAGCAGCAGCAACCACATTCATTCCTCGCAGGCAGCAGTGATCTATTAGTTAGTAAAACCTTTTAAATAAATGTAGCTAAAATATGCTATGCCCTTTAATAATAATAATAATAATACTAAAAACAAAAATAGATAAAATAATACATAATAAAACAGCAGCCAGGTCTACAGCTTCTTTTAAAAACCCAACAGTTGATGGAACAACTTATCTCAAATATCAGTTTGATTTGTCCCTCCTAGGGAAAGCGTACCTCTTCCCTGATGGCAGGAGTTAAAATTCTGCAAGAAGAGGGTGTCGAGGGTCCACCAAGATGGCCTTTGCTTTCCGAATGGCTCTCTCTTTATAAACATGGTCAAGATCATTCAAATTAGTGCCAAAAGTCTTTTGGCAAACTTTAACTATCTTTCTCAGCCTATTTTGTTAACCATGCTGAGGTTACCAAACCAGCAGATCATTGCAAATGTTAAAATTGACTCAATAACAGATGAAAAAAATATTTTCAAAAGCGATCAATGTTAAAACCCCTCACGAAAAACAATCTCTGCTTGGCCTTTTTACAGGTGGAGTCAGTGTCGGCATCAAAAGTCAATTTATCATCCAGGAAGGTGCCCAAGTCCCCATACTGGCTTACTGTCTCTACAGCTCTGCCACTGATAAAAGTCTATACAATGACAGGAGGGTTTCAGCGGAAGTCGATCAGCATATCTTTTGTCTTTGAGACATTGAGTTCCAAGTATGAGACATTACACCATTTGATGAAATTGTCCAGTACTGGTCCATGGCCCACTTCATGGTCCTGCAGTCAATGGTGTAAAGCACAAATAATAAAGGTGACAAGATGTACCACTGGGGTGATTCTGTTTACTGAGTGTGTTCCTGTTTGATGTGCAAACGCTCACCACCCTGGCACACCACACCAAATAACAGAAAACTGTCCACAACAGTCTTATAGAAGGTGCACAGCAGGGGCTGGCAAATTGAAAGATCACAGCCTTCTTAAAAAATAACAGCCTGCTTTCACCCATTTTATATACTGCCTCCATGTGGCGGGACCAGTCCAGCTTGTTATCCAGCTGTATTCCTAGCTATTTATAGTTTGATACAAGCTCCTGTCCCGAGTGAGGGTAGCATCCATAATTAAACAATGGGGAACCCAGGATCTCTCCTCCAGCCCATATCCCTCCCAGTTGACCAGAAACTGAAATCCTGAGCCCCAATTGTGAACATCCGTTATTTGCTGCACAGTGAAGACTGGATGATTGTCAATGACCTAGGGGGTGGAAGGGGTTTGGCCGGAGGTTCGAGCAAGGACACGTGGAAAGTAGGGTGCACCTTCATAGAGGTACATAGATTCAGTTTCGTCATAGAAGGAATGACCAGGTGAGAGGTTACGAGTTGTCACACACTGTAGTGCTGTCTAGAAGTCCTGGTTGGCCTGCTCTGTCTGCCCATTTGTCTGAGGGTCACACCCAGAGCCTTGCAGAAAGCTTTCCAGACCGCAGACTGCTGGCATGAAATTGCGGGCCCAGATCCGACACAATATTCTGAAGAATCGCAGGCAGGCAGGCTAAATCTTGTGGTCTGTCCAAACCGTGAAAAATTGTTCCAGTGTCTCCAGTCCTCCAACGGCAAAACCCCAACCAAATACTCAGCCGGGAACAGACGATGGGAGAAAAAAACAAATATAACGGGTCCCGGATGGACCGCCACGCTCTGAAATACACACTGAGACGTGGAGCTGCAGTTACGTTCTTCATGCAAACAAACATCTTCTGTCCACAGCACAGGTAGCTGCTGTCAGGCCTTTTAACACAGAAGACAGCCTTCAAATCTAACCTAACCCTAATGACAGGACAAAAACCATCAATGACACACACATGCATGCATGCACTGTGGCAAAACTGTGTACCTTCCCCAGATCCAATTTCCCTCCAGCTGTTCACCTGTGAGTCCCTCATATAGGCTACATGACCACTGTGATATCCTGCCTATGCTCCTGAGGGGCAAGTGGACTACCATCACCCTTAAACAAATGACCATACACAACATACAGCACACATCAAAATTGGCTATAACAGATGTCTTATGTGTTTCACAATAAATCTGTATCATTCCCTAATTTCTCAGGTGCTGCAGAAACTGGGAAAGGCAGACGAGACCAAAGATGAGCAGTTTGAACAAGTGGTTGTCAACTTCAGGAGACAGGAGGTGAGAGATGTTTACAGGACTGCGAAGCAAGTTGGACATAGCCTAAACCCTAAACCCCCATCAGTGATAACGGGTATCAGTGGTTATCAGCTCTTTTTAGTAATACAGGTTTTCTCCATCAAGCTCTGTGCTGATTCCCATAAAAGACGTTTGATGCGTGATTTGACTCTTCTTCCGCACAAAATGGAGCGATCACAGGCCGCCTACTTCAGTCAAGAGTAACGTGTCGTTATAATGGAGAGGAATGCTGGCTGAAAACAGACTTAATGCACATAGAGCTCTTAAGCTTTGCACTTGATAGGCCTACAGCATATTTTTATATATTTACAAAGGTGATGCTCAAGAATTATGGAAATCATGTCAGTTTTTGGCCAAATCAAAGGAACAAAACGGACTTGGCAGCAAATCAGGAGCAAGCATAAAAACTTGATCCAATGTGTTGTGTAGCTGCTGGGCCTGCTGGGATAATTCTGTTAGTGTGTAGATGAGTGTTAACATTACCTGTAGCAAACAGGAAAAAAAGATCTTCTGCAGACATGAACCATGCAGCTGCACTGTAGCGTCGCTAACTGACACGCACTGACTCTTTGTTCAACAACTTGTCTAACGTATGGCTCGCAGGTTTGTACTTCTGCAGCTCTCGAGGATCTCTATCACTCAAACAGAACATGGTCAGGAAAAGAAGCAGTGAAAGGGCAGCACTTTTTACAGCTGATTTAAATCCTAAACTGCACAGACCTCCTTAAAAGAGAGTAGCTAGTAATCTGACTTTAGGCTCAACACGCCTAGCTAACCCAGTAATCTGGCTTCCTGTAGCCCCCTCTACTGGTAGTCGACAAGAAGACGCTTTACTGGCCACTTCCTGCGTAACTACAACAACACATCCTGTTTTTCAGAATAAGAGCCCCACTTCCTCCCAATACATGTTAGCATGTAGACTCTTACAGAGACAGATATTTGGCTAATTATAACACAACTTTTATGAAAATATTATACACATTTACAGCACAACGTGTTGGATCATTAACATGTTGACCTGATAATGGAAAGTCAGGATCAGCAAAGTTCTCACAGTTCATCCTGAGGGGAACATGAAGGTCTTCACCACATTTCATCACAGTCCATCCAACAGCTGCTGATGTTTCGGTCTGGACCAACAGACTGATGTCTGTAGAGTGGAGACGTTAGTGTGATTGAAGATTAAGAAACTTCTGTCTGCTCAGGAAATATTAACAAAGGAACATCAGAGACTAGTTTAGATCAGTCGGTTCATCTTTGACCTAAATAATAAATCAAATGAATGATGACCAATATCTTCATGTGTATGTGTTTTTAACCGCTACTGTGTGTGTCCTGTCAGTCTGAAGGTTCTCGGCTGCAGAGGGAGATGAAGTCCTACATGTCGTCCATTAAAGGTGAGAAACATCATACATCAAATATGGAAACAGATGTCTTAGTGCTGGTACAAAAAGAGCCTGTTTCATAGAAGGTAAATACACATGAAAAGGTTAAAGGTCAGATGACAACGTCCATCAGTTAACTCTGTTTTTGTTGTGAAGGGATGCAGCAGGCCTCCATCAACCTGACCCAGTCTCTGCATGAAGTCTACGAACCAGACTGGCACGGAAAAGATGACGTCATGGTCATTGGGAAGGTCAGACTCATGAAAACACCCATATGACAAGATGACACCCGAATGCATCACACAGGATGAAACTGTAGTAGAAAAATTAAACTGCAGCGCCTGTAGGTGTGAGATCCCGGTATCCAGGTGTCTGCAGGTCTTCACAGGAAGCTGAACTGAAAACTGTGATTTTCAAACATAAGGTTTTTTATATTCTGCTATGGAAACGAACATTAAAGTTTAAACAGTTATTATTTTCTGTGTTTGTTTGTTCGCACCTACAGTAACGTGTAGCCACATCAGTGTTAATCAGCAGCAAGCAGTCATGATGGTTGTTTTAAACAGCTGTAATGTAATTATATGATTTCTAAATCAAGTTGTTTTTTTCCTGGTGACGTCACATTCAAGAGAGGAGAAAAACTATTAAACAGAATCATTTTATAATTTTTAGGCCCACAGCTTGAAGGGATGAGGTTTGGAGTCACAGCATTGTTGTAAAGTTTTGGCTTGTCAACATGAGATGTGTTTCCTGCAGGACTGTGATGCATTGTGGGAAGACTTCCATAACAAACTGGTGGACTCGACGCTGCTGAACCTGGACGCATACCTGCAACAGTTTCCAGACCTCAAAGTAACAAACTGTTTGTTTTTCAATTCAAAAGTGTTTTACAGGGTTGATGTAGAAACTAAGAATTTTGTGATGTTTCAGACTCGTGTTGCCAAAAGAAGTCGGAAACTCATCGATTACGACAGCGCTCGACATCATGTCGAAACCCTGCAGATGTCAGGGATGAAGAATGACCGCAAAATGATGAAGGTGAGTCCACACGTCTGTAATTAAACATGATGTAGGTTAGAAAATTAAAAAGGTAAAGGTGCGGATGTTAAATACCACCTGTTCAGGTGTTTGATCTGTTCGGGTGTTATATTTGATCTGTTCAGGTGTTTGTTCTGTTCGGGTGTTTGTTCAGTTCAGGTCTTTGATCTGTTCCGGTGTTTGTGTGTTCGCACAACAGTAACGTGTAGCCATGTCAGTGTTAATCAGCAGCATGCAGTCATGATAGTTGTTTTAAACAGCTGTAATTAAATTAGCTGTAATTAAATTAGCTGTAATTAAATGTTCTATTGGATCTGTTCAGGTGTTTGATCTGTTCAGGTGTTTGATATGTGCAGGTGTTTGATCTGTTCAGGTGTTTGTTCTGTTCAGGTCATTGATCTGTTCCGATGTTTGTTCTGTTCAGGTCATTGATCTGTTCCGGTGTTTGTGTGTTCGCACCAACAGTAACGTGTAGCCATGTCAGTGTTAATCAGCAGCACGCAGTCATGATGGTTGTTTTAAACTGCTGTAATTAAATTAGCTGTAATTAAATGTTCTATTGGATCTGTTCAGGTGTTTGTTCTGTGTGGGTGCTTGTTCTGTTCAGGTCATTGATCTGTTCCGGTGTTTGTTCTGTTCAGGTCATTGATCTGTTCAGGTGTTTGTTCTGTTCAGGTCATTGATCTGTTCCGGTGTTTGTGTGTTCGGGTGTTTGATCTGTTCCGGTGTTTGTTCTGTTCAGGTCTTTGATCTGTTCCGGTGTTTGTGTGTCCTCACAACAGTAATGTGTAGCCATGTCAGTGTTAATCAGTAGCGCGCAATCATGATGTTTTAAACAGCTGTAATTAAATTAGCTGTAATTAAATGTTCTATTGGATCTGTTCAGCTCTTTGATCTGTTCAGGTCTTTGATCTGTTCAGGTGTTCTATTGGATCTGTTCGGGTGTTTGTTCTGTTCAGGTCTTTGATCTGTTCAGGTGTTCTATTGGATCTGTTCAGGTCTTTGATCTGTTCATGTGTTTGATCTGTTCAGGTGTTTGATATGTGCAGGTGTTTGATCTGTTCAGGTGTTTGTTCTGTTCAGGTCATTGATCTGTTCCGATGTTTGTTCTGTTCAGGTCATTGATCTGTTCCGGTGTTTGTGTGTTCGCACCAACAGTAACGTGTAGCCATGTCAGTGTTAATCAGCAGCACGCAGTCATGATGGTTGTTTTAAACTGCTGTAATTAAATTAGCTGTAATTAAATGTTCTATTGGATCTGTTCAGGTGTTTGTTCTGTGTGGGTGCTTGTTCTGTTCAGGTCATTGATCTGTTCCGGTGTTTGTTCTGTTCAGGTCATTGATCTGTTCCGGTGTTTGTGTGTTCGGGTGTTTGATCTGTTCCGGTGTTTGTTCTGTTCAGGTCTTTGATCTGTTCCGGTGTTTGTGTGTCCTCACAACAGTAATGTGTAGCCATGTCAGTGTTAATCAGTAGCGTGCAATCATGATGTTTTAAACAGCTGTAATTAAATTAGCTGTAATTAAATGTTCTATTGGATCTGTTCAGCTCTTTGATCTGTTCAGGTCTTTGATCTGTTCAGGTGTTCTATTGGATCTGTTCGGGTGTTTGTTCTGTTCAGGTCTTTGATCTGTTCAGGTGTTCTATTGGATCTGTTCAGGTCTTTGATCTGTTCATGTGTTTGATCTGTTCAGGTGTTTGATATGTGCAGGTGTTTGATCTGTTCAGGTGTTTGTTCTGTTCAGGTCATTGATCTGTTCCGGTGTTTGTTCTGTTCAGGTCATTGATCTGTTCTGGTATTTGTGTGTTCGCACCAACAGTAACGTGTAGCCATGTCAGTGTTAATCAGCAGCACGCAGTCATGATGGTTGTTTTAAACTGCTGTAATTAAATTAGCTGTAATTAAATGTTCTATTGGATCTGTTCAGGTGTTTGTTCTGTGTGGGTGCTTGTTCTGTTCAGGTCTTTGATCTGTTCCGGTGTTTGTTCTGTTCAGGTCATTGATCTATTCAGGTGTATGTTCTGTTCAGGTCATTGATCTGTTCCGGTGTTTGTGTGTTCGGGTGTTTGATCTGTTCCGGTGTTTGTTCTGTTCAGGTCTTTGATCTGTTCCGGTGTTTGTGTGTCCTCACAACAGTAATGTGTAGCCATGTCAGTGTTAATCAGTAGCGCGCAATCATGATGTTTTAAACAGCTGTAATTAAATTAGCTGTAATTAAATGTTCTATTGGATCTGTTCAGCTCTTTGATCTGTTCAGGTCTTTGATCTGTTCAGGTGTTCTATTGGATCTGTTCGGGTGTTTGTTCTGTTCAGGTCTTTGATCTGTTCAGGTGTTCTATTGGATCTGTTCAGGTCTTTGATCTGTTCATGTGTTTGATCTGTTCAGGTGTTTGATATGTGCAGGTGTTTGATCTGTTCAGGTGTTTGTTCTGTTCAGGTCATTGATCTGTTCCGATGTTTGTTCTGTTCAGGTCATTGATCTGTTCCGGTGTTTGTGTGTTCGCACCAACAGTAACGTGTAGCCATGTCAGTGTTAATCAGCAGCACGCAGTCATGATGGTTGTTTTAAACTGCTGTAATTAAATTAGCTGTAATTAAATGTTCTATTGGATCTGTTCAGGTGTTTGTTCTGTGTGGGTGCTTGTTCTGTTCAGGTCATTGATCTGTTCGGGTGTTTGATCTGTTCAGGTGATTGATCTGTTCGGGTGTTTGTTCTGTTCAGGTCATTGATCTGTTCAGGTGATTGTTCTGTTCAGGTCATTGATCTGTTCTGGTGTTTGTGTGTTTGTGTGTTTGTGTGTTTGATCTGTTCAGGTCATTGATCTGTTCCGGTGTTTGTTCTGTTCAGCTCTTTGATCTGTTCCGGTGTTTGTTCTGTTCAGTTCATTGATCTGTTCGGGTGTTTGATCTGTTCAGGTGTTTTAATTGTTCAGGTGTTTGATCTGTTCAGATGTTATGTTGGATCTGTTCAGGTGTTTGATCCTTTCAGGTGTTCTATTTAATATGTTCAAATTTTTGATTTGTGCAGGTGTTTGATCTTTTCAAGTGTCATATTGGATCTGTTCAGGAGTTTGATCTGTTCAGGTGTTCTATTGGATCTGTTCAGGTGTTTGATCCTTTCAGGTGTTCTATTTAATATGTTCAGGTGTTTGATTTGTGCAGGCGTCATATTGGATCTGTTCAGGTGTTTGATCTGTTCAGATGTTATGTTGGATCTGTTCGGGTGTTTGATCTGTTCAGGTGTTTTAGGAAGTTAATTTCGTTAACAGACTTTTTTTGCAGGCTGAAGAAGAGTTAAAAAAGGCCCAGAAAGTCTTTGATGAGCTGAACGTTGGTCTTCAGGATGAACTGCCGACTCTCTGGGACAGGTGGGTCAAACACCTCTCTGATGGCATCATCTTACGCCGTGTTGCTGTTGAACAGAAAGTGATTACTGAACACAGTTTCTTTGTTTTAAAGATTTTTTTGGCCATTGTGCTTTTATGTAGTCCATGTAAAGAAAGGAAACACGAGAGAGAGAGAGGAGTCATGACATTCAACAAAGGTTCCTCTCTCACAGTCCATTTGGCTACCACAGTGCTTTATTAAATAAGCTTCCAGTGTGCAGTGAACTGTGGCCCAGAAGATACTGCAGTTCATATGTTGTCATATTGTATCACTATTCATTAAACCCAGCTACCTCCTCCTCCTCTGATGTCTGAGAAGGTTCTCAGTTATCCAGGTCAGAGTTATCCAAAGAAGGTTGAAGTCCAGGGCAGCTGGACTTGGTTGCAGATACTAGAAGACAGAAGCATTGCTGGTACAGATATGTGGACGACACTTAAATTAAAACCCAGCCTTCCCAGAACACATCAACTCTGTGGACAGAAACACCGAGTTCACACGAGAAGACGTCCACAACAACAGTTTGGCCTTCCTGGACTGCGCTGTACACATTGAAGAGGACAGGAGCCTGCAAACTGGGGTTTACAGAAAACCCCCACACACAGACCAATACCTACTGTTCGATTCCCACCATCCACTGGAGCACAAGCTAGGAATCATCAGAACCCAGCAACACAGACCACATACCAACAAGCGCCCAAGCCAGAGAGAAGGAACAGAACCACCTGAAGGGGGCACTCACAGCCTGTGGAGACCCTAAACGGACCTTTGTGAAAACAGCCAGATCCAGGAAGAAGAGCAAAACTACAGGGGACGAGGAGAAGAAGGTAAAACGCAACAACATTGTGATTCCATACCTGTCTGGAGTATCAGAGAAACAAACACAACATCCCTGTGTTTTTTAAACCTGGTACACCCCAAAGACCGCACACCCAAACACAAGAAAAGCAATCTAGTGTATGCGGTCCAATGCAGTGAGGAATGCACAGACCTGTATATTGGGGAGACTAAACAACCACGACACAAATGCATGGCTCAACACAGAAGGGCCAACTCCTCAGGTCAAGACTCTGCAGTCTACTTACATCTGAAGGACAGAGAACACTCGTTTGAGGACCAGCAGGTGCACATTTTAGACAGAGAAGATGGATGGTTTGAAAGAGGTGTCAAGGAAGCCATCTACACCAGGGTGGAGAAGCCGTCATTGAACAGGGGAGGGGGTCTACGCCACCACTTATCCCCCACTTACAATGCTGTCCTTTCATCACTTCCCAGGAAACTCAACAAACGTAACCTATTGCCCTCAGGTGAAGATGCCAACGATGGTCGTTGGGTCTTGGCCTTGGGTGGCTCAATCATGATGACTGCCGTTACCACAGCCAGGAACACTAACAAACCAGCGGTATTGACGATCCTGGCTAACGACCCCACTGAGGTTAAACAGCTGAGTTTCCCTACCAGTCAGTCAGAACTGAAGAAGTCCCTCTGATGAGGGATGAAATGTCTTCTAGTATCTTCAACCAAGTCCAGCTGCCCTGGACTTTAACCTTCCTTGGACTCCTCCTCCTCTTCCTCTGATGAATTCAGTCTTTAAATGAAGCTTGAAGGAACTGATTCAGTTCTTTGTGTTGTCATGCTGAGCAGTACCAGTGTCGTCCTCTTTGTGTTTGATGCCTTCAGGCTGCACTTTGCTGTAAAGCTGAATTATTCTCATATTTCAAACAGAAACTCGACTGTGATCACAATATGTGGATGCTTCCAACAGTTTTCACTGACGATAAAGCCGAGTCAGCTTCTAGTCACACTGATGGTACAACATTTCGTCAAAAGCCAAAGATCTTTGATTGGCTTAGCTAGTAAAAACGTGCCCCTAAACAGAACCTACAGAAGGTGTTGCCTCTAGATATTTGTTCTGGTTCCCTTTTCTCTCAATATTTACTTGTCCTGAGATGTTTATGAGCTGACTGACTTTCCACTGACAAACTTTCCACCACCGCTTCTTCTGTATTCTGCTGACAAGTTTCTTAAACAATGTGTTAATCATGACTAGCAGTCACAACTCTAACGTTTCTCTCTCTGCTCTACAGCCGGGTTGGCTTCTACATCAGCACCTATAAGAGTGTGACACATCTGGAGGCCAAATTCCACCGCGAGATCTCTCTGGTGAGGGGCGGGGGGCGGGGGTCAGTAAACCAATGAATGGTTTTGGAGCTGCTTTGAATGCTGAATAATCCAGTGTAGCCATGTCCAGAACATTCAGACATACAGATGGAGTTTAGTTTGAACCATCACTGACATCAGATAGCAAGCAACCAATAGGGTTAGGGCACTCTGTAACATCGCGTTACCTGGGCAGAGGTGTTTCTGTGGAGATCACGTTCCACAAAGAGATGAAATGAGTGATTTTTCTAACCCTCTAGGTATGTAGGCAGCTGTACGAAGTGATGACCAAACTGGCCGAGCAGCACTCTGACAAAATGTTCACCATCCAGGGAGCACCAAGGTCAGTACCATTTTCACTGTGGCGGCCTGAAATACGTCCAGAAAACTCAGGAGTTCACCAGTCAGAGCTGATGGGTGAAAGCAGCAATGTGTGCATGAAACATTTGTGTTTGCCAACCTGTGTTGTTTTTTGTTGTCACACAGGGACCAGGTTTAGTGGTTTTATTGTATGTAATGTAGTCCAGTTGGATTTACTGTTGAGGACTCAGTTAGGTTTCTATCCTGTTTCCATGTCTGTTGGACATTTAAAAAATCCTTTCCCTGTTCATGTGTTTCTTAAGATAAAACTGCAGAGCAGGAACAGTTAGTCCACTTATCAAGTTAGAACACCTGCGATCCAGGTGCTTGTTTGTAACATCTGACAGAAGACTCTGACATCATGTGATCATTGTGGTTTCTATATCGTTCCTCAGTGATTCAGGGCCCTTGCGACTCGCTAGAACCCCGTCACCACCAGAAGACGAGAGTCCACCTGAGAGTCCAGACAACAGCTCCAATCACATGCTCCGGCCCGTCTCACCTGGACCACCACGGCCCAAATCCCCTATACAGGTAGATCGGAAATTGGTCCAGATCCAAAATAGTTAGATCTAATCCCGCATCATTTTAGAACCAAAACAGAGGTAGCTGTAATGAGAACTTGATCCTAATATCTATCAGAGGTAGATGTGATTCTAACTGGATCCAGGTCCTCATCACAGGTAGATGTTAGATGTCATTGGTCTGGACAAAATGAATTATGTAGTTTATATAAATCAACTTGAGAAGATGACAAAAGTCAACATGATATCATATGAGAGTATTATAGTAATTAACAGACAACATAATAGTGATGGATAGATATAACAGTGGAATGACTTTAGTGCCAGCAGACAGTGTTTCTATATGTTTTACTGTGTGTTTGTTCGGTCTGAACTTCACAGTAACTTTCTGTGACTGTTTTTCTTTGCTGCACACTTTTGTCTGTTACTTGGTGAGTGAACATGTAACACCAGTGTTTCTCTTGTGTCCGTGTTGCTGTGCTGTACATGGTGAGTGAATATATAACGAATCCAGTGTTGTTATATGAAGTAGAGCTGATACCTGAAAGTGGAACATCGCCTTGTGTCTACTGACTGCCCTGGCCATGAGATCTGACTTTCAGTGTTAGCTTTTGATACCATTTACATGTTTGTCATAAATATTTTTACAAATATGTGACATATGGGTGTGCAGTCGCAGGACAATGTATGTGAACCCTTTGGAATCACCTGGATTTCTGCCCAACAACAAACAAAAACAGTCTGCTTAAAGTAACACCACACAAACATTTATATGTTTTCATGTTTTTATTGAACACACCATGTAAACATTCACACTGCAGGCTGGAAAAAGGATGGGAACCCTTGGATTTAATATCTGGTTGATCCCCTTTGGCAGCAATATTCTTGGGATGTGAGGTGTGAATCGCTCTCTTGAGATCTTGCCACAGCATCTCTGTCGGGTTGAGGTCTGGACTCCACTCCAGGAGGTGTACTTTCTTCTGCTGAAGCCGTTCTGTTGTTGATTTACTTCTGTGCTTTGGGTCATTGTCCTGTTGCATCACCCATCTTCTGCTGAGCTTCGTTTGGCGGACAGATGGCCTTATATTCTCCTGCTAAATGTCTTGATAAACTTTGGGATTCATTTTTCAGTTGATGATAGCCTTCCAGGCCATGAGGCAGCGATGCAGGCCCAAACCATGATGCCCCCTCCACCTGTGCTGTGGAACATCCAGGTGCTCTTTTGTAAACTTCAGATGTGCGGCAATGTTTTTTTTTGGACAGCAGTGGCTTTCTCTGTGTTGTCTTACCATGAACTCCATTGTTGTCCAGTGAGCAGTTCATCATAGAGTTGTCAACAGACATGTTAGGATTTTAGAGATACTTCTGTAACCCTTTCCAGTTTCATCCAATCCAGCAATTCTTCATCTGAGGTCTTCTGAGAGCTCTTTTGGTCGAGGCATGGTTTACATCAGGCAATGCTTTATGAGAACAGCAACATTTTAATTGGCGTGTGTTTTTTATAGGGCAGGGCAGGTCTAACCAACACTTCCACTCTGGTCTCATTGATTGGACTCCAGGTTGGCTGACTCCTGACTCCAGTTAGCTTTTGGAGAAGTCATTAGCCTGGGGGTTCCCATCCTTTTTCCAGCCTGCACTGTGAATGGTGTGTTCAATAAAAATATTCAATTCCATTCAGTTTTATTTATATAGCGCCAAATCACAACAACAGTTATCTCACAGCGCTTTTCATAAAGAGCAGATCTAGACCGTACTCTGTGATGCTATTTACAGAAGCCCAACAGTTCCCACCAAGAACAAACATGAAAACATATAATTGTTTGTGTGGTGTTAGTTTAAGCAGACTGTGTTTGTCTGTTGTTGGGACTTTGATGAAGATCAGATCACATTTTATGACCAATTTATGCAGAAATCCAGGTGATTCCAAAGGGTTCACACTCATTGTCCTGCGACTGTATGTGTAAAGTGTGTGTGTGTGTGTGTGTGTGTGTGTGTGTCATACAGTGTGTTTTTCGAATACTGATTCCCAGACTTTCCTGTAACAGTCTCATTAGTTAGCTAAAGGTTGAACTGTCGCAGATCACAGCTTGTTGACAGACAAACTCTAGTGAATTTACACTGTATAAATGATCGTAGTTAACATTGTCAATCAGCAAACTAAAATCCCTGCATGTTTGAGTGTGGTTGATGGACTCTGTTGTCCCATGATGCAACACTGCAGCAGAAACAGTGAACCTGCTCACAGCTGGACAATATGTGGGTAGGGGTGAAATGGCTCTGCAAAATCTCAACAAGTAAAAGAAATCAATCCCTCTGTGAAGATTGAGTCTAAATCTCTGCACTGGAGTGATTTATGCTTGAAAAGATATAGATACACCTTTTAAGAAAGTTTTAAAATTTCCATTTGGCAGCAGTTTTCCAGTCTTGCAGTAAGACAGACACATTTAACTATTTCCTGTCAGTTAAAGTGAACTTTCAGCATTAAGGTGCTTTCAGACAGCAAGGTGGCGCTGACCTCAGGCCACATCGTTGTTCTGTCCTTTATATCAGGTGCAACATTGTCGCCAAACCTGTACAGCACAAGCTGCTACTATTCACCAAATATGACTTAATCACGCAGATTAACGCTTCAATGCATAGATGTCTTTTCAAACAGTCCCACTGACCTCGGGTCTTTAGCGACTGGGCACACAAACAAACACAACATATTTTATAGATGTAAGGAATCCATACATACAAACTATATTGCCAAAGGTTTCGGGTCGCCTGCGTTTACATGCACATGAAGGTTAATGACATCCCATTCCTGATCTGTAGGGTTTAATATGGAGTTGGCCAGTACTATACCAGTTTCAAGTCTTCTGGGAAAGCTGTCCACAAGTTTCAGGAGTGTGTTCATGGGAATTTTCTTCTTCTAGAAGCACATTTGTGAGGTCAGGCGCAGATGTTGGACGAGAAGACCTGGCTCATAGTCTCTGCTCTAATTCATCCCAAAGGTGTTCTGTCGGGTTGGGGTCTGGACTCTGTCAAGTTCTCCACACCAAACTGGCTCATCCAGGTCTTTATGGACCTCCTTTGTGCACTGGTGCGCAGTCATGTTGGAACAGGAAGGGGCTGTCCCCAAACTGTTTCCACAATGCTGGAAGCCTGAAACTGTCCTAAATGTCTTGTCTGCTTAAGCATCTCAACAGTTCCTTTTACTTTCACTTGGCACAATGCAGTCAGGCGAGTACCGTTCTCCTGGCAACCGCCAAACCCAGACTCGTCCATCGGATTGCCAGACAGAGAAGCGTGATTGGTCGCTCCAGAGAACACACCTCCTCTGCTCTGGTGTTCAGTGGCGGCGTGCTTTACACCGCTGCGTCCGACGCTTTGCATTGCACTTAGTGATGTCAGGCTTGGATGCAGCTGCTCAGACGTGGAAACCCGCTCCATGAAGCTCTCTACGCACTGTTCCTGAGCTAATCCGAAGGCCACACGGCGTTTGGAGGTCTGTAGCTGCAGAAAGTTGGAGACTTCTTTGCGCCTCAGCGTGTGCTGACCCCACTCTGTGATTTTATGTGGCTGACCACTTACTGGCTGAGTTTCTGTTGTTCCCAATCTCACTTTGTTATCCACTAACAGCTGACCGTGGAATATTTAGTAGTGAGGAAATTTTACGAATGGACTTATTGCACAGGTGGCAGCCCATTACGGGACCACACCTGAACTCACTGAGCTTCTGAGAGCGACCCGTTCTTTCACAGATGTTTGTAGAAGCAGTCTGCAGCCGAGGTGCTTGGTTTTATACACCTGTGGCCATGGAGGTGATTGGAACACCTGAAGTCAGTGATTCGGAGGGGTGTCCTAAAACTTCTGGCAATATATTGCATTTATAGAATTCATAAATATTAATTTATATTTCATGCTTCAGCTGTAAGTTGTCATAGACTGAAACGTACCAAACCCAAAGTAGTCAGCACAGCAATCACTAATTGAGTCACTTGCCTGTGGTCATTGTAACATGATGCAACAGATGTGGCATCTCCAGTGTTTTTTGTGGGAGTTCTGTTTCTTGGCATACTAAATAAACCTGTAAACCTGCAGTCATCGCAAGCGGCTGCTGATCAAATCTATATTTTAAGACCCTGACAGTCACAAAGTCAACAGTGTTACCAGTTTAAATAATAATTATGATGATAACAGACCAACTGTGTCATTGTTTCTGTGGCTGCATCTGTACTCTTTCTTTTAAAACATTAAACAATAACTGATTTGCTGTTTGATGAAATCTACTGAGCTGATTTGATAACAGCTCGTCATATTTTGTGGCAGCTTAAAAAGGGACCGCCGGTGCCTCCACCACCAAAGGCCACACCTACCCAGGAGGTGGCAGAGGAGCAGATCATTGACCTGTTTGGAGGAGACTTTTTACCAGCTCCTTCACCATCTCAGGTGCGTGGAGTCCTCACAGGTTTACTGTGTTCAGTAACAGTAACAGAGTGTGTTGTATAAACCTGCCTACCTCTTTTTGGTTTGTGTTCCACAGCCCAACGAACGACCAGGAGAATCTCTTCTCGACCTGGACTTTGATGCTTTTCAGGCAGATGAAAGTGTTTCTCCGATACCACAGGTTCTCTACATTCAGGACCAAACACCTTCACCCTTCACCTGCAGCGGTTTGAACCAGTGTAGCCATGTACACCTGAACATGTGCCAAAGCCACGCCAGCACCAACACACTGGTCTTATTAAAGGAATGAATCAGCGGTGGTAATGAGCAAGAGACCAGTGCCGCCTTTTCACTTTCCCCATGCAGAGTTATCTGCCTGTCGACTATCCAGTCACAGGCTCGCTTTTCTAACCTTTAGACCACCACTGCGCACCTAGCTGGTGTTCTGCAAAAGTTTCTCCAACCAGTCTAGTTGCCCTGATTTAACCCCCCTTGGAGATTCTTTTTTTAACCTTTATTTATTTAGAGAGCTTCACCCTGATCACATTCACACCTGGAAGCTGCCCAGTACAACCGCAGCCTGTTCTGCTGGCCCCTGAGCAGCTCCGCTGGAGCGGTTGGGGTTATGGGCCTTGGCAAAGGCACCTCAGTGGTGGTAAATGAGGGAGGGCAAGCACTGCATGTTTTACGTTTCGCACCCAGATTTTATCCTGCCAGTCGGGGTTGAACGTCCCGGTCACAAGCTCGCTTCTCTAACCTTTGGGCCACCACTGGCCTTGATAGATGTGTGGTCAGAATCAAATCCATTCCAGTTTACCATTCGCTGTTGATCTCATCATGAGCTGTTATTGATACTAATCTGTTATCTGTATACAATGTGTACATTTCCACTAACCACATGTGCTCTGGCCATTTCAGACAGCGGTGCCCTGGGATATGTGGGCGGTGAGTAAAGTCTTCTGTCCTACTTAAAGATGGAATTAACAGCTGGTAACCCTAAACATTTACTTCATCTTCTAAATTTCCACTCAGATTAGCATTGATAGTAAAACGTCACTTATTTAGAGATCAGGGATGAAAAAGTGAAGTAACGTTACAAATGAATACTTTTCTAAAAAATAATAAACAGTTGTCTCTGCAGATATGAACTTTCTTTAAACATCTTTTATCACTTTTTTCAAGGCCAATGCCCAAACAGCTCAGCCTGTAAGTACACACAGTACACAGTTATACACACAGTACACAACATCTGCTATACCCTGATCAATCACTGATGAAGATGAACTGTTCACTGTGTAGTACATCAGTATACTCACATGTTCACTGTGTAGTACATCAGTATACTCACATGTTCACTGTGTAGTACATCAGTATACTCACATGTTCACTGTGTAGTACATCAGTATAATCACATGTTCACTGTGTAGTACATCAGTATACTCACATGTTCACTCTGTAGTACATCAGTATACTCACATGTTCACTCTGTAGTACATCAGTATACTCACATGTTCACTCTGTAGTACATCAGTATACTCACATGTTCACTCTGTAGTACATCAGTAGGTTTGCACTGTTGATTTTCAAAATAATTGTTTTTTCTAGCAAAAATATCCACCAGGTTTTCTAACAGATCTGTATGTAGCTCTGCTGGACATGTTTGTAGTTTTAAATAGCATCTTAATTTACCTAGAGTTCACAGTGAATGGGTCCCACAGTAATGAGAAAATGGAGTGTTGATGGCGCATAGATAAGATGCTTGCCTTTGGTGTGGGAGACCTGGGTTCGATTCTCACTGTGAGATGTCCACCATTGTGTCCCTGAGCAAGACCCCTAGTTGCTCTGGAGGCGTGCGACCTCTGACATGTACAACAGGTGGTACAAATAAATAAATAATTGTAATACTGTACATATGTGTATATCCATACTTGGTTAGATCGGTCTGACTCTGTGCAGCCAGTGTCTGGATTCCTACATTATTCCTGTTTGACTGTATTTTTATGTACTGGCCCTCCAGTCAGACTCAGTAGGGTCTTTAACCCTTCCAATCCCTGCCTTTCTCAAGCAGGCTGCAGACACCGGCTTCGTCGCCGACTGGTCAGCTGACTTTGGTTCATTGTCACCAAACGGAGACGCTGCTCCAGGAGCCGAGGCCCCTGCTGTGGGGGCGGAGGGGGCGCAGGGCGGGATAGAGGGTGGGGCTCAGGGCTGGCCCCAGGCAGACGGCTGGCAGCCAGATGGAGACACAACTACATCTCCTCAGGACAGTGAGGCAGCCCCAGCAGCTGAAGACGAGGTTAGCAGCTGGGACTATCAAACTAACCCCGAGCTTCATCCCTCTGCAGTCAGAGATGATGAAGATGAGACTAGGCAGGCAGATCCAGCAGGGCAGGAGGACCGCAGGAAGTCCACCCCAGGACTTAGATTCACTAATGAGTATGGAGAAGAGATTGAGGACAGCACAGAGGACAGAGGAGACAAGTGGTCAAGGTCTCCGGATGGGTCTGGATCTGAATATGAGACAGCCGAGGAGTGGGGTGACGGAGGTCAGGGGGGCGGCTGGGCAAGTGCCGATGATGAAGACCGTCCCCCAGTGAACGCTTCAGAGGGGTGGAGAGGTGGGAATGACGGTGTAGCAGCAGATTGGTCTCAAACAGTAGAAGGAGTTTTACTAGAGAGCGACGCAGCCGACAGAAAGTGTTCATCTGAAGGAACAGAAGCTGATCTCCTGTCAGCTTACAGTGACGGTTCAGAAGCTGCAGCGGGAGGAGACAGAAGAGTTTCATCTGAAACTCAGGGAGGAGGTGTGCTTGATTCAGATTATTTCACTGGAACACAGGCCGGAGGTGCGTTTGATTCAGATCCTTTTGCTGAAACTCCAGGAAGAGGTGCGTTTGATTCAGATTCTTCAGCTCAAACACAGGGAAGAGGTGCGTTTGATTCAGATCCTTTTGCTGAAACTCAGAGAGGAGGTGCGTTTGATTCAGATCCTCTTGCTGAAACTCAGAGAGGAGATGCGTTTGATTCAGATTCTTCAACTCAAACACAGGGAAGAGGTGCGTTTGATTCAGATCCTTTTGCTGAAACTCAGAGAGGAGGTGCGTTTGATTCAGATCCTTTTGCTGAAACTCCGGGAAGAGGTGCGTTTGATTCAGATCCTTTTGCTGAAACTCAGGGAGGAGGTGCGTTTGATTCAGATCCTTTTGCTGAAACTCAGAGAGGAGGTGCGTTTGATTCAGATCCTTTTGCTGAAACTCCGGGAAGAGGTGCGTTTGATTCAGATCCTTTTGCTGAAACTCAGAGAGGAGGTGCGTCTGATTCAGATCCTTTTGCTGAAACTCAGAGAGGAGGTGCGTTTGATTCAGATCCTTTTGCTGAAACTCAGAGAGGAGGTGCGTCTGATTCAGATCCTTTTGCTGAAACTCAGAGAGGAGGTGCGTCTGATTCAGATCCTTTTGCTGAAACTCAGAGAGGAGGTGCGTTTGATTCAGATCCTTTTGCTGAAACTCAGAGAGGAGGTGCGTCTGATTCAGATCCTTTTGCTGAAACTCAGAGAGGAGGTGCGTTTGATTCAGATCCTTTTGCTGAAACTCAGGGAGGAGGTGCGTTTGATTCAGATCCTTTTGCTGAAACTCAGAGAGGAGGTGCGTTTGATTCAGATCCTTTTGCTGAAACTCAGAGAGGAGGTGCGTTTGATTCAGATCCTTTTGCTGAAACTCAGAGAGGAGGTGCGTTTGATTCAGATTCTTCAGCTCAAACACAGGGAAGAGGTGCATTTGATTCAGACCCTTTTGCTGAGACCTTAGGAGAAGGTGGGGTTGTGGCCACTGGGGATGGAAGAAGCGGGTGGGATACAGACCCTTTTGCCAACAGTTTCCCAGCAGCCTCTTTGGGAACAGACATTTCCTCCTCCATCACCACGTCCTGCCAGGAAGTTAGTGACAGCGGCGGCTTGGACTGTCCTGTCACCCACCCAAATGTCTCTGGAACAGCAGCAGAAGGAATTAAAGATGTAAACGTTCCCAGAATTCACAAAGAACCAGAAAATTCAGACATGTCCGAAGATGAGGCTGCCAACCGGAGATATGGAAAGTTGTACCAAGAGCTAGAAACAGAAAAGGAAGAGGTACTTGTCTTCCTCCCCTCTTCAGTGTGATAGCTTAGTGTAGCGTAGACCAGAAATAAATGAGGATCCCTTTCCTGCCTTCTTCCCTCCCAGACACTCAGAAGCAAACAAGTCCAAGTAGCTGTCCTAAAACCTGGATCCCAGCCTGAGCTCCTCTCCTCCTGCTTGCTTTGTCTTCTTGTTATTGCCATACTTCCATTGTCACCTTTACAACTCTCAGAGACTCGTCATATCTAAAGCCTTCCAATACTAATTTGTATCTTTAATTTAATTTAGGTGGCCGATGCATTTAATGGATTTTCACAGGTAATTTTTTTTAATTAAACATAAATTTTCTTCCATTGTCCAGATGAAACATTGTGATTTGCAGAGATGAAATCAGATGCTCTGAGTACAGTGATTTAGTAGTTATGAATTGTTCAGATCTAATTCAGTCCACGGGGACTTTTGATTTCATCTAGTTAAATGTGTTTTTCATTGTTGCTGAGTCTTCTAGCTATAAGTTCAGATTTCAGATAAGTTTAAAATCCTACCTAAGACTTTTCTATTTCATATTTGAACAGAACAAAAGACAAAGACATGAAAAGCAATTAATTACCGCATCACAATTCTGAAGAGTTAGGAAAGTTTATCAGGATAAACTCCTTCAAATGAACCATCTCTGTCAGAGGTCACTGCAGGGCATTAACTGCATGCATCATCGAACCCCAGAACCCCCTTTCCCAGTAACGTCTCTTCTCTTAATGTGTTGTCTATTAAAGTTCTTTATGTATTCTTCTTCTGAATGCCAAATAATAATCTAGTCTTTCCTGGTCCTGACTGTCATTTCTGACTCTTCTTCTCTATTGTTTACATGTGCACTCTGAAGGATGCGACTGCCCCATCATTTTTTGCTGATTTTGATAAGATGGTGAGTTTGAATTTCAGTACATTATATGCAGTTTCACTGAATGATCTGTATATGACTGAGGGTTTGGCCTACATCCTGGCAGGAAATTAGTGACAGCATTGGCTTTGACTCTTCTGTCGCTCAACAAAACTGCATACGTCTCTTGTGTTTTAATTCTTTCATTTACAGATTCTGTTGAGCAGTTCATTCTTTAATCTGTATGTTTTAAGCATTTGTGTTTTTTTACCTCAAAAATATATTCTGATAAGCTTTCCTCTGATTGTAACAGTAACTATTTAAAGCTGGTATGTATTGAAATGTGAAAATGTCACCTGGCAGCAGATTTGTATGAGAAAATGTGTTGTGTAACGTGTTGGAGGTACTTGACAGACATGAAACCTAGATCAGTGTTTGTGAATGGTCCATTTAGGCAGGTGGAAGCTCTTCTTAAGAATTGCGAGTCTACCCCTAACCCCTAACATTTGAAGGGTTGACCACCATCTTTCTTTGCAAAAGAACAAAGTTAATGCTGAATCAGTCGAGATTCCTGAAGCCTCAGAGACAGAAGCTGCTAAGGAACAAGACAAGCCTACAGCTCCGCCTGTTGGTGAGGAACCTCCAGCTCCACCTGCCGTTGAGACGGAGGAACCTCCAGCTCCCACTGCTGAGGAACCTGCAGCTCCCCCCACTGCTGAAGAACCACCTGCTCCCCCTGCTGCTGAGGAACCACCTGCTCCCCCTGCTGCTGAGGTACCACCTGCTCCCCCCGCTGTGGAGGAACCTCCAGCTCCCACTGCTGAGGAACCTTTAGGTCCCCCCACAGCTGAGGAACCACCTGCTCCCCCCACAGCTGAGGAAGATACAGCAGAAAGTTCTGGCAGCCCAAAGGAGAATCCTGCTGTGAGTGGACATGTTGATCACAGCAACTTACTAATAACACTGCTGCCATCTGTGATCCCCTGATCATCATCACCACCACCACTGTCATCACCATCACCACCACTGTTATCATCATCACCACCACCACTGTCATCATCATCACCACCACCACTGTCATCATCATCACCACCACCACTGTCATCTGTCATCATCATCACCACCACCACTGTCATCATCATCACCACCACCACTGTCATCATCATCACCACCACCACTGTCATCATCACCATCACCACCACTGTCATCATCATCACCACCACCACTGTCATCATCATCACCACCACCACTGTCATCATCATCATCATCACCACCACTGTTATCATCATCATCATCATCATTACTGTTATCATCATCATCATCACCACCACCACTGTCATCATCATCACCACCACCACCACTGTCATCATCATCACCACCACCACTGTCATCATCATCACCACCACCACTGTCATCATCATCATCATCACCACCACTGTTATCATCATCATCATCATCATTACTGTTATCATCATCATCATCACCATCACCACCACTGTCATTATCATCACCACCACCACTGTCATCATCATCACCACCACCACTGTCATCATCATCATCATCACCACCACTGTTATCATCATCATCATCATCATTACTGTTATCATCATCATCATCACCATCACCACCACTGTCATCATCATCACCACCACCACTGTCATCATCATCATCATCACCACCACTGTTATCATCATCATCATCATCATCATCATCATCATTACTGTTATCATCATCATCATCACCATCACCACCACAGTTATCATCATCATCACCACCACCACTGTCATCATCATCACCACCACCACTGTTATTATCATCATCATCATCATCATCACTGTTATCATCATCATCATCATCATCATCATCATCATCATCATCACCACCACCATTACTGTCATCATCATCATCATCATCACCACCACCATTACTGTCATCATCATCATCATCATCACCACCACCATTACTGTCATCATCATCATCATCATCACCACCACCACCATTACTGTCATCATCATCATCATCATTGTTATCAGCATCATCATCATTGTTATCAGCATCATCATCATCATCACCATCACCACCACTGTTATCATCATCATCACCACCACCACTGTCATCATCATCACCACCACCACTGTTATTATCATCATCATCATCATCACTGTTATCATCATCATCATCATCATCACCACCACCACCATTACTGTCATCATCATCATCATCACCACCACTATTATCATCATCATCATCATCATCACTGTTATCATCATCATCATCATCATCATCATCATCACCACCACCACTGTCATCATCATCATCATCATCATCATCATCATCATCATCACCACCACCACTGTCATCATCATCATCATCATCATCATCATCATCATCACCACCACCACTGTCATCATCATCATCACCACCACCACTGTCATCATCATCATCACCACCACCACTGTCATCATCATCATCACCACCACTGTTATCATCATCATCATCATCATCACTGTTATCATCATCATCATCATCACCATCACCACCACTACCACTGTCATCATCATCACCACCACCACTGTTATCATCATCATCATCATCATCACTGTTATCATCATCATCATCATCACCATCACCACCACTGTCATCATCATCACCACCACCACTGTCATCATCATCATCATCACCACCACCACTGTTATCATCATCATCATCATCATTACTGTTATCATCATCATCATCACCATCACCACCACTGTTATCATCATCATCACCACCACCACTGTCATCATCATCACCACCACCACTGTTATCATTACCACCACCACCACCACCACTGTTATCATCATCATCACCACCACCACTGTTATTATCATCATCATCATCATCACTGTCATCATCATCATCATCACCACCACCACCATTACTGTCATCATCATCATCACCACTGTTATCATCATCATCATCACCACCACTGTTATCATCATCATCATCATCATCACTGTTATCATCATCATCATCATCACCATCACCACCACTGTTATCATCATCATCACAACCACTGTTATCATCATCATCATCACCACCACTGTTATCATCATCATCACCACCACTGTTATCATCATCATCATCATCACTGTTATCATCATCATCATCATCACCATCACCACCACTGTTATCATCATCATCACAACCACTGTTATCATCATCATCACCATCACCACCACTGTCATCATCATCACCACCACCACTGTCATCATCATCATCATCACCACCACCACTGTTATCATCATCATCATCATCATTACTGTTATCATCATCATCACCATCACCACCACTGTTATCATCATCATCACCACCACCACTGTCATCATCATCACCACCACCACTGTTATTATCATCATCATCATCATCACTGTTATCATCATCATCACCACCACCACTGTCATCATCATCACCACCACCACTGTTATTATCATCATCATCATCATCACTGTCATCATCATCATCATCACCACCACCACCATTACTGTCATCATCATCATCATCATCACCACTGTTATCATCATCATCATCATCATCACTGTTATCATCATCATCATCACCATCACCACCACTGTTATCATCATCATCACCACCACTGTCATCATCATCATCATCATCATCATCATCATCATCACCACCACTGTTATCATCATCATCATCACCACCACTGTTATCATCATCATCACCACCACTGTTATCATCATCATCACCACCACTGTTATCATCATCATCATCATCATCATCACTGTTATCATCATCATCATCATCACCATCACCACCACTGTTATCATCATCATCACAACCACTGTTATCATCATCATCATCACCACCACTGTTATCATCATCATCACCACCACTGTTATCATCATCATCATCATCATCACTGTTATCATCATCATCATCATCACCATCACCACCACTGTTATCATCATCATCACAACCACTGTTATCATCATCATCATCATCATCATCATCATCATCATCATCATCATCATCACCACCACCACTGTTATCATCATCACCACCACTGTTATCATCATCATCACCACCACTGTTATCATCATCATCATCATCATCACTGTTGTTATCATCATCATCATCATCATCACTGTTATCATCATCATCATCATCACCATCACCACCACTGTTATCATCATCATCATCATCATCATCATCATCATCATCATCATCATCATCATCACCACCACCACTGTTATCATCATCATCACCACCACCACTGTTATCATCATCATCACCACCACCACTGTTATCATCATCATCATCATCACCATCACCACCACTGTTATCATCATCATCACAACCACTGTTATCATCATCATCATCATCATCATCATCATCATCATCATCATCACCACCACCACTGTTATCATCATCATCATCACCACCACCACTGTTATCATCATAGTGTAAAGACAATAATACCCAAAAGACAATAATACAAAAACAATACAAGATAAAAGCTTGAAAACATTCAAAAGACTAAAATACATGTTTAAGATAATATAAAATTAGTAAAATAGAATAAAATAAAAGGGATAAAATAAAGTCAAATAAGATCGGGAAAGGCTCTCCTATAAAAGTATGTTTTAAGAAGGGACTTAAAAGAGTTCACTGACTCAGCCGACCTGATTTCCTCGGGCAGGCTGTTCCAGAGCCTCGGGGCCCTGACAGCAAACGCTCTGTCCCCTTTAGCTTTCAGTTGAGACTCTGGAACAGACAACAGACCTCTGCCCGAGGATCTCAAGGTACGTAAGGTCAGAAGGTCTCAAGGCCAGAAATATAACAAGGCGAGAGGCCATGAAGAGCTTTAAAATTGATCAATAGAATTTTAAAGTCAATTCTAAAACAGCCAGTGTAATGAAGCTAAAATAGGAGTAATGTGGTCATATTTCTTTGTTCTGGTTAAAAGCCTGGCAGCTGAGTTCTGGACAGTCTGGAGTCGATCAATAGATTTTTGGGTTAAACAGGTGAAAAGGCTGTTGCAATAATCCAGGTGTGATGAGATGAAGGCATGTAAAATGGTCTCGGTGTCCTTAAAAGTTAACATAGATCGAATTTTTGCTATATTTCTAAGTTGATAAAAACATGATTGAACAAGCTTTGTGGTGTGCTGCTCGAAATTTAAATTACTATCAAACCAAACACCAATGTTCTTTGCCACAGGCTTAATGAGATTTACTAGGGAACCAACAGATGGCAGTATTTGTTTTGCCATCTGCTGAGACCCGATGACCAGGATTTCTGTTTTGTCTGAGTTCAGCTGTGGAGTTGAGTCTGTGGATCTGATGGGCAAGTATATTTGTGTGTCATCAGCGTAAATATGAAAAGAAATGCCATGTTTATGGATAATATGTCCAAGGGGAAGCAGATACAAGGAAAACAAAATGGGTCTTAAGACCGACCCCTGAGGCACACCATATTTAACTGGACAGAACGAGGAGACATAGTTACACGCAAAACTTCCTATTTGACAGGTAGGATGAAAATCATTCTAGGGCAGTACCAGAGATCCCCACCCAGTGCCTCAGTCTGTCTAACATGATGTTGTGATCAATGGTGTCAAAAGCAGCGCTAAGGTCCAGGAGTACCAGGACTGAGCACATGCCTTCATCAGCAGACATTAAAAGGTCATTGGTGACTTTAAGCAGGGCAGTCTCAGTGCTGTGGTACTTCCTAAAACCAGACTGAAACTTTTCAAATATTTTGTTATTTTCCAGTACAGTGAGCAGCTGTTTGCACACAATTCTTTTTAAAATCTTTGCAATAACAGGCAGTTTTGAAATTGGTCTAAAATTTTGTGGGAGGGAGGGATCTAAACCAGGTTTCTTTAAAAGTGGGTTCACGCAAGCCGTTTTAAAATAATCAGGGACACAACCAGTAGATAGGGAGCTGTTGAAAACAGAGATCAGATGGGGCCCAACAGAATCTATTACTTTCAGTAAAAACTTTGTAGGTATTACATCAAGTGGGCTAGAGGACACTCTCATTTCACAGTTATCATCATCACCACCACTGTTATCATCATCATCATCATCACTGTTATCATCATCATCATCATCATCACTGTTATCATCATCATCATCATCATCACTGTTATCATCATCATCATCATCATCATCACTGTTATCATCATCATCACCACCACCACTGTTATCATCATCATCATCATCATCACTGTTATCATCATCATCATCACCACCACCACTGTTATCATCATCATCATCACTGTTATCATCATCATCACTGTTATCATCATCATCATCATCATCATCATCACTGTTATCATCATCATCATCATCATCATCACCACCACCACTGTTATCATCATCATCACTGTTATCATCATCATCATCATCATCATCATCATCATCATCACTGTTATCATCATCATCATCATCATCACTGTTATCATCATCATCATCATCATCACTGTTATCATCATCATCATCATCACTGTTATCATCATCACCACCACCACTGTTATCATCATCATCATCATCATCATCACTGTTATCATCATCATCATCACCACCACCACTGTTATCATCATCATCATCACTGTTATCATCATCATCACTGTTATCATCATCATCATCATCATCATCATCATCACTGTTATCATCATCATCATCATCATCATCATCACTGTTATCATTACCACCACCACCACCACCACTGTTATCATCATCATCATCACTGTTATCATCATCATCACTGTTATCATCATCATCATCACTGTTATC